TTTAATTTGTTGAGACTTATTTTGTGGCCTAACATGTTATGTATTCTGGAAATGTCCCATGTGCACTTGAAAAGAATGTGTATTCTGTTTTAGGTTGGAATGTTCTGAATATTTGTGTTGGATCCAACTGGTCCAATGTGTCACTCAAAGCCACTCTTTCCTTTTTGATTTTTCTCTTCAGATGCTCTATCCGTTGATGTAAGTGGGGTGTTAAAGTTAGAACGAAGTAGTTCATTTGGAGTTTATTTTTATGTATGATGAATGTATATCCAATTATTCCATTGTTATTTATTGAATAGTACATCTTTTATCTATTTATCTTTAATGTCTACTCTTCACATACAAGAAGCTCTGATACTATCTTTCCATTCTATTCTGTTGGTCCAGTTGCCTACACACCCTGCCACCACCAATAGTGCAGGGTCTTAGTGACAGTATCAGTCTTCAGTAGTATCCTGCCTTTTCTTTTGTTTTTAAGATTTATTTATTTATTTATTTGACAGAGAGAGAGAGCACAAGCAGGAGGAGCTGCAGGCAGAGAGAGAGGGAGAAGCAGGCTCTCCATGGAGCAGGAAGCCTGATGTGGGTCTCCATCCCAGGACCCTGGCATGACCTGAGCCAAAGGCAGACGCTTAACTGACTGAACCACCCAGGTGCCTATATCTTGCCTTTTCTTAACCTTGTACTACTTTGTTTTATTTTAAAATCAGTTTGTGTAAATTCCATAAAATACCCTGAAGAGACTCTTCTAGGAATTATATTGAAGCTATAGAACATATTGGGAAGACTAACATTTTTGTAATATTGAGGCTTCTTAACCATGAATATGGTGTATCTCTCCATTTATACAGGACCTCACCACTGTCTTTCAATGTTTTTAATTTTCCCCATTAGGATCTTGCATGCCCTTTCTTTCTGAGAATTTATTCCTGATGACTTTAAGTATTACTATAAGTTACTATCAAAAGGGATCATTTTATCACATTTCCTTTTTGTTTGATAGAAAAATGCAATTGACTTTTTGTGTATCTCTCTAACCACCTTGCTAAACTCTCTTATTAATTCTTGTGTTTAGATTATTTTGTATTTTCTCTGTAGACAATCATATCACCTATGAATAATGAAAGCTTGCTTTCTTCCTTCTTACGCTTCTAACTTTTCTTCCTCTCCTCCTACTTTTCTTTTCAGCTGTTGTTAAAAGTCCCCTATTCCCTGCCTAAGTAAACCTAATGTATCATTTTCCATTTCATATTGTAAAATTTTACTCTCTAACAGGGTCTGCCTTTTTCTTTTAACCCAATGCCAATAATGGAATTTCAGTTCTTAGCCTTGAATTGCCAGTGACAACATTCTCAGCAAGATAAAAAGCAAAAAATGTTCTTTCTTGTCCCAAAAGCTGGGAAGAACAATGTATCTTTAACGCAAAACTTTCTTATAAATGATGTTTCTAACAAGGATAATTTTTCAAACCGCTAGACTTCAAAGATTTGGGGTGAGGCCTGATAAAATTACCTTAACCCATAAAACATCTGTAATTTTGATTACTCATCTTTCTTAATAATTTAGTGTTCTCGTAATAGTGTTGAGTTAACGTCTTCATCTACAGGAAGGTAAAATTACTTGTGAATGTTCTCTGTCAAACCAGAAAAGAAACATTGGCATTTCCCTGTACTCACACACAGAGAATAAGATGGTTCTACTGGAATTTTTTTAAAGAAAATGTGAGCGACTATTGGATAAACCAAGCAGAAAGCAGAGATTTAAGGAGAGTGGTTGCATACGGAGCCTAAAAATGAGCCCACAATAAAAAATTTTAAAAGATTTTTAATTTTAAAAGCCAAATTAAGATAAATCTGTACTTGGGGGTGCCTGGGTGGCTCAGCTGGTTAAGCGACTGCCTTCGGCTCGGGTCATGATCCTGGAGTCCCAGGATGGAGTCCCACATCGGGCTCCCTGCTCAGCAGGGAGTCTGCTTCTCCTTCTGAACTTCCTCCCTCTCATGCTCTCTCTCTACCATTCTCTCTCTCTCTCTCTAATAAATAAATAAAAATCTTTAAAATAAAAAAAAAATCTGTACTTGGGCCTCAGTGGGAAACTACTTGCCTCTGTGATCTTTCCCAGCTAGCTCAAAACTTTGCTGTTAAAGAATTATTCTTACTAAAAATCCAGAGCTATTCGAAAATAAGAAAATTGTGGTATTTTATTGTGTTGTTGATTTTGTCTAAAGGTTTTTGCCAGAAGTCACTGGTGATATGGGTTCAAGTAGAGTGTTACCCGTGTGTTAGCAGTTGAATCAGAGTGGGCGCTCCCAAACTTGAGTGCACCAGGATCGTCTAGGCTTGTTAAAATGCAGATTCCTGGGACCCCCATCCAGAGTTTCTAATTCAGGGCTAGGTCTGGGTTTAGACCTGAGATTTTGCATTTTAGTACATTTCCAGGTGATGCTGAAGCTGCTGATCCAGAGACCATATTTCGAGAACTGATAGAGTAGAATGATAGTAATTTCTGTATTATGTTCTATCATCCGTTTTCCTAAGCTGATTGAGTTATAATTTCATCCGATTCAAAATAAGTGATTCTTTGAGAAAAATGAGGCTAAGGGGCGCCTGGATGGCTCAGTTGTTAAGCACCTGCCTTCTGCTCAGGTCATGATCTCAGAGTCCTGGGATTGAGCACCAAGCCCTGCATCAGCTCCCTGCTCAGCAGGGAGTCTGCTTCTCCCTCCCTCTGCCTCTTCCCTGGCTTGTGTACACACTCTCTCTCAAAAAAATAAATAAAATCTTTTTTAAAAATTTAAAAAAGAAAAATGAGGCTAAGATGGAGAGAATCTCCATGGAGAGCACTAAGAATAACCCAGCCTGGGTTTAAGTACACAATGCAGAACACAGAGGTTCTGTGTTGCTTTTTACAGTAACAGAGATCCACAACCCATCACCCCAAGATATTTTTTTAAAGAAACATATGGAAGCTGTGTGATTTTTTTTTTTTTCCTCTTCTAGATGCCTGCATTTTCTCCTTTCTTTTCCTTGGAAGGAAAGTGCTACTGTATGACCTTCAGCTTTCCCAAGAAATTAATGATTTCCTCTTTTATTTGAGTGCAAGATTTATTTTTCCTGTGTGAAAGTCCATGTGAACTGTGTTTAGGATTTTTTTAAATCTATATTCATGGGTGAAATTGACTTATAATTTTCCTCTCTTGTAGGGTCCCTGTCAAGTTTTTAGTATAAGAGTTATACTAGTCTCATTAAATGAGGAGGGGATATATCCTCTTTTCATATTCTGTAAACACTTCTGTAGGATTAGAATTATTTTTTCCTTTGAGTGTTCGTTGCAACTTACTGGTAGAGCCATCAGGACTTTGCATTTCCCTTGTGGGAAGATATTCAACAGTCAATTCAATTTTTTCTGCTGGAAAAAGGATTCAGTGTAACTGAAAAATGATGAGTAGATCATTGTGTGGTACCCCCAACTAACGACTATTTTCAGAAAGAAAGAGCAAAGCTCCTTTCTATCACCTACCAGGTCGTGAAGAAAACTCATTCTTTGGTTAGATGAGTCTAAAGGGTGGGGAGGGGGGAGTGCAGGGCTCACAGGGAGAAGGCCTTGGGTTACTTTGGGAGCAAAAGCACCAAGAATTCAGTCCTAAGAAAAGGATCAGTGTTTTTTCAAACTTTTTCGTAGTTTGTGCTAACACAGACAAACATAAGCACACACATTTAATAGAAACAAATGTTACATGAAACTATAGTTATGCTGACTGCCTGTGATGCAGGCTGGCATTTTCTGTTCCATTTTATTCTAGTCCATCCCAAATCTAATGGTCATTTAGCATGGTAATCGGCATTGAACATTGGTCTATTTTATTCTATTCCATCCCGCTAAATATATATATTTATATATTATATATATGATTAAAATTTTATATTACTATGTATTATATATTTATAAATAAAAACGTTTTATATAAATATATACTTTTTATTATGTATTTATATATTACTTATTCCATTCAGGGTCGTGAACGAGGTTTGGAAGTGGGCTTAGGAGTGTGGCCAGTGCTGGGGATTCCCAGGACCCCACATTTCCACGTCCACGCTACCTGCGGTTTCAAGTTCTTCTACTCAGGAACAGACGACGTCCCTCTTTTCTACCTGCCAGTGGGGAAGATGCCAGGATTAGTCCAGTTTTGCATTTATCAATTCAGCTGAAGTGGACTTAGATTCGAAGTCCCTGTTTATGCTGCAGCCGCGGAAGAACCGGAGAACGCTCCCGGAAACCCGCTGCCGCTCCTCTCACCCGCAGAGGTGAGCAGGTGAGAGCGGAATTGAGGTGAGAAGCCGCCGGAGTGGGACCGAGAGGAGAAAGAGCTTTCGCTAACACTCCTCCTCCCGCACAACCTTCTCCCCATGCCCTTTCCCCACTCGACCGCCTCTTCCTCCTCGTCCCGCTCTCTCCCTCCCCAGCCCTGCACACCCCCTTCCCTCCGTGCGGGCACTAATGGGCCGCGCAGCAGCCGCTCAGGGCTTGGACAGGTGCGCACAGCAGCCGCACCGGGTCTCCCAGGCCGGGGTGCTTCTCGGCCGCCGATCCCTGGCCTGGCTGCCCCGCGCCCCGGGGGTTGGGGGACGGAACCTGGGAGCTGAGAATGCAGGGGGGCGAAGCGGAGTACCGGGATCCCGGCCCTGGGGGCAGGAACAGCGCACACAAACTGGGAGAACCTCGGGGACGGTGACTGCGAGCACCCGGAGAAGTGGGAATAACCCCATGCGGCTTTAAGCAGTGGGGACCCTCCGCAGCTCCCCCCGCCCCCACCGCGCCGAGCTCTGATTGACGTTCAGTGGAGCCAATCATAGCCAGGCCCCCTGCGAGCCCGCGGATGCGCTCCCGGAGGATTCCGGAAGTCAGGGCAGCAGCCCCCGCAGGGGGGCCCCTGGGAGCCCTGCGGCTCCGCGCCTGGGAGGGCCTTCACTGAGATGCCGGCGCCCTGTTGAAGACCTGGACGGAAGCGGTCACTGCGGCTGGAAACCCGAGGCTCCATGGGAGGTCCCTTAGTGTCCCTGAGCGCCTGCCTGGAGGAAGAGGGCATCCAGTGGCTCTGCAAATACCTGAAGAACGCGCAGGGGACGCTAATGCAGGTGAGATTTGGGGAGGAAATCGTGTCCCCCAGGCATCACCCAGCTGGGGTAGTGAGGAAGGGATACGGGCCTCTAGGTTTCTCTCCGGGTCTCTCCGGGTCTCTCCGTGGCGCCTTGGAGTGAGGTGGGGGAGAGCAGTGAGAACGGGTCTGTCCCCGACGGGAGAGGAGGGGTGGACCCTTAGACCCTTAGACCCTCTACTGGTAGGAGGTGTACGAGTGCTCTTGTCCTCGCGGCATCAGTGAAACGAATCCAGGCCCCGGGAGAGGGTCCCTGGAGAATACCTAGAGTCGGACATTTATTCCTTCAGTTCTCATCACGTTTGTTCGGGAATATAACTCGTTCCCTTTCACGTGAGGTGGCTGCGTTTGTGCCACAGCCTTCTTCTCTCTCACACAACCCTCTGGCCTCACGCCGGATCCCTCAGACTGAGACGCGGTTCGGAGGGACAAGTGGGAAAGGAAACCTCGTCTCAGGCACTGTGCAGGGTGGCTTAAGCACGACCAGGGTTCCAGCCTAGAGAGAAGTATAAACCGTCTCCTCTTGCCTTCTCAAAGCCATCTTCCTACCTCCTTATAATCATCATGGACATAAATGCTGGCCTACTTGTCCGAGGTGCTCTGGTTATTAGAGAGGAATTTGAATAATATAGATGAAAAGCTTGAATAAAAGCGAGTGGGGATACCAGGCCTCTTCAGCTTGACTGGTGGGTTTCCCACACTTAATAGGTGAGGTTCGCAATATCCCGCCGCTTGTAAGCTAGGGTGACTCACAGATGTGCTAGAGGATGGAAGGGAGTGTGCCCTTTCGGGAAGGCAAGTCAGCCTGGCAGGCAGACAGTGTGGCCAAGAAGCCACCAGTTGGGGGTCAGTACATGCAAGCGAGTTCCTGCTGCTGCTTGGATGGGAGGAGGTGTGGCAAGAGGCTGGGGAAAACTCATCCTGATGGTCAGTCTGAGAAGCAGTCAAGATGGAGAACTGCAAAATCTGCAGTACTCATTTTCCGGGAGTCCCAGTGCCCAATGACAGGCTCCATCAGGGATGGCCAGCCCCTGTGGGCTGAGCTCTGCAGGCCTGATCTGCATTCGGATCTCCCCTACTTCTTCACATGGTCAGGGGAAGTTGAGCCAGGAGCTCAGAGAGTAACCGGAAGGGCACACAGGCACCTGAGAAATGGTTACCTTAAATCCAAGAGATCCACTTCCAGAACTCTTCTTGCATTCCCCAAATTTTCCTCTGTGATTCAATGGGAGGAAACCAGGTCCCAGCGTTGATTAAAAACAAATAAACAGAGCACCTAGGTAGGTCAGTTGGTTAAGCATCTGCCTTCGGCTCAGGTCATGGTCCTGGGATTGAGCCCCAAGTCTGGTTCCTTGCTCAGTGGGGAGTCTGCTTGTCCCTCTCCCTCTGTCTCTGCCCCTCCTCCCCACTCGTGCTCTCTCTCTCTCAAATAAACAAAATCTTTAAAAGTAAATAAATAAATAGATGAACAAACAAAACTCTTAAGTGAGCTTGTGTGAGTGTGTAAATGGTGCTACGCAGTGATGTGATTGGGTAATCAAAAGGGATATCCACCCGAGGCAAATACGGGGAGCAAATTTGGAGTCAAAGAAACTTGGTGTGGTCCCCAGATGCAGCATTCATTAAAGAAAAGACACTGCTTTGGGACAGATTCTAGGACTGCAGTCGTCTAATGCCAGGGACTTGCACCTCTTTTCCTGCATTGTTTCCCAATTTTGCCCTGGTACTGGCATTTAATTTTTATACCACTTCAAGTTTAAGACTAATGGTTTGCTCTACAGCCTCCTAACTCCCACTTCCCTGCTAGCCTCACACAGGTCATTTTCTCTTCCCAGGTAGTAAAAGGGGGTAATATGCTCATCTTCAAGTAAATAAGGGGGAGGAATGAATATTGTGAGGGAGGGAAAAATTGGGTCTCTGCAGTAGGGGAAGAGTCGCTAAAAATTAAAGAACTTTATAAATGGGAGCTTCAAGACTAGTGTGTGTTTCCATTCATGTTTCCTTCCTCAGTTTGAGAGGAATTTTTGGCAGAGAACTGAAAAAACTGTCTACTCCTTCATCTCCTAACACCTATAGGTTCTCTCCTCCAAGTGTTTGTCCATTTCCGATTAGGGGAACATGAGAAGGGAGAATAATAGCTCAATGGTCTTTCCTTCACATCTCCCTGGAGAGAGTTGTGAAATATATGCCTCCTTCCACAGGCTTAGGTGGACCTGAAATTCTCAGCATGGATCCAAGAGTTGCAAAGAATATAATTTCCAACACATCACATATATTAACACATTTAAATAAATCTGTTAATCACCTTGTCATGTGTCCAGTGGAATGTAATTACCATAATGTATTGACACCCATCACTAATTTTTAAAATGCACAACCTCTTCCTTAACAGTTGGAAATTTTACATTGCTCCTTTTTTTTCTTTTGAATTCATATTTTCATTTTCCTCCCCCTGTAGAATTTTTTTTTTCTCAACCCTGGCCCAACATTCTAATGTAATGTATTTTTGGTCTTGGAAATCTTTTCTTGATCCATCTAGCATGCTTCTTTGCAACAAAATATGTTCTTAAAATAAATCTTTTATTTCCTGATCTAAGTGTTTGAAAAGTCAGATGAATCAAGATAGTACTACAATTATTAGAGATAATTGATCAAAATAATATAAATAACACAGATTTGAGTAAAAAAAGTAGAAAACATATAAATTTTTAAAAAGTAACTATTTAATTGGAAATGTTTCTCTTACAGAGATGGATAGGAGCTTTATTTTCCCTACTTCATGTTGATGAAAGTTATTTATTGTTGTTATGAAGCCAGTTCCATATGATTTCTCTTCCTTTAAAAATATTTTAACATAAAGAACTAAAAAATCTTATTCACATATAAAAGTATGGAAACAGAATAAGTATAAGAATGGAAGGAATTTTGTTGTAGCAACTTCACCCAATTTTTAAAATTTCTTCTTGGTGGGCACCTGGGTGGCTCAGTTGGTTAAGCGACTGCCTTTGGCTCAGGTCATGATCCTGGAGTCCTGGGATCGGGTCCCACATCAGGCTCCCTGCTTGGCAGGGAGTCTGCTTCTCCCTCTGACCCTCCCCCCTCTCATGTGTTCTCTCTCTCTCTCTCATTCTTTCTCTCAAATAAATAAATAAAATCTTTTAAAAAATAAAATAAAATAAAATTTCTTCTTGGTTATATGCCAAAACTCACATGGTGCACTATTATTAAATACTATTTCAAATAATCGCACAACTCAAATGTAGAGTTCTTCTTCAATTTTGTTGAAGCAAAGAATTAGAAACTACGTGATTTGCAAAACTATTTTTACACATTAGTTTCTTTCACTCGGTTCTTAGAAGTATACCAAAGAAGCTTTTAAAATTCTTATGAAATAACTAATATTTATACCTGTTAGAGGCATCTTGTTTGTGAAACTCAAATTGGATGAAACTAGGGTTAGAAAGAAACCCACAGATTTGGAAATTAAAAATCAATAGGTTCTGAATAAAGACCTTTTCCCCATTTTTTAATGTCATTTGGAAGTGCATTTAAAAATTATGACAGATGGGCACTAAACTATTGTGCATGTGTATGTGTGTAATTTCATTTGACTGTAAAAAATGATTAATTTTGTAATCATGCATTTGTTAGGTATAGAACAGTGTATCAACATCCAAGAGGGAGAAATTAATCCCAAATAAATGAACCTGGATTTCTAGAGTTTAGAGTATGACAACCAAGACTACATTTTGGAACATTTTGTTTTGTATCCCCAGATAAGTGGATTTCTGCTTTTAAGAACACAATTAAATCTACTCAGTGGAAATTAACTGCAAAATGAAGAGAAGGTATTAGATCATTACCCAGTGTAAGTTTACTGAAATTCTATTTCTGATTGCTATGTGAATTATTTACAGCAGAATCCACAAAATATTTCCATCAGATTAACCTGAATCTAGTGGGTATATATAAAAACAAATGAGCAGAGAAATAACAGTGTATCATAGACTTATACCCAAATAGAAAAATGTCTTTGTATGATCCAGTAATATTTGGTAAAAGTCCATAAAAATATTTCTTATATAAGTCAGAATAAGCTCAAGAAAACATATATTAAAGTACTCCCAATATGTGTTTATTTTACTCCAAAATATGATGTCGATCTGTCAGAAGTAAATGTCGAGACTTTTGCCTTCACTGCTTTCAAATCATGCAACCTAAGCCAGTGGAGTACAGATGAGACGAGTGAGTAGGTCTTTGTTAGTTCTTAGGGAACTCTGTTGCAAGTTACTATTTCTTTACATGATTTTTATAAATTGAGAATATTCTTTTTTTTATTTTTAGAAAGAGAGCATGCGTGCCAGTGGGGGTGGGGGTAGGGGTGGGGCAGAGGGAGAAGGAGAGAGAGAATCTTTTTTTCTTCTTCTTCTTTAAATTTTTTATTGTTATGTTAATCACCATACATTACATCATTAGTTTTTGATGTAGTGTTCCATGATTCATTGTTTGTGCATAACACCCAGTGCTCCACGCAGAACGTGCCCGGAGAGAGAGAATCTTAAGCAGGGTCCACACCCATCGTGAGCCCAGTGCAGGGCTCAGTCTCACAACCCTGAGATCATGACCTGAGCTGAAATCAAGAGTCAAATGCTTAACCAACTGAGCCACCCAGGCACCCTTAAACTGAGAATATTCTAATGCCAAAACAGATAAGGATTGGAACCTTGCCATGAATTTGTCACCTGAATGAAATTTAAAAACCACCACCATCAGTATTTCTTGCCAATGCTAAGGAGCCATTAATCCTTTAAAATTAGAAAAGGAAGCCTTCTGGGCGCCTGGGTGACTCAGTCCTGGGACCAGCCCCACCTTGGGCTCCCTGTTCAGCGGGGAGTCTGCTTCTCCTGTTCCCTCTGCCGCTGCCCGCCCCCCCCGCCCGCTAGTGCGCACTCTCTCTCAAATAAATAAAATCATAAAAAAAAAAAAACAAGAAAGAAAAGGAAGCCTCAAGGTTATCAGATGCAATTTTTCAGCATTCCAACTTTTCCACTGAGGAATTATGCAAATCCAGAATATTGTAACACAGGCCAAAACTCCCCCATTTCTTATGCCACATATCACCCTTAACATATAAAGTTACTCAACCTGGAGCATTATTGACATTTGGAGTTGAATAAATTATTCATTGTCAGGTATCCCATGCATTGTAGGATGTTTAGCAGCATTCCCCACCTCTACCCACTAGCACTGATCCCCGACCAGAACCTTTCAGTTATGGCAATAAAAAACTGTCTGCAGATATTGCCAGGTGTCTCCCCTGAGGGGCAAAATGGTTGAGGATCAGTGCCCTTAACAGAAATATAGAAGGACACAAAGTTGTGGTTAAAGGAGGCTTTGTGTCTACAGGTTTTGAACTGTCCTTTTCTTTGGTACTCAGAAGTATTTTATTCCCAGGTCAAGGCACCATAATTAGATCTTGGATAGGTAAGTGGGACACCTTCCTCTTGTAATGTGGGAGAAAAAGATTAAATACTATAAGAGCAGTCATAAGCATGTCACTTTTATTTTTTTTTAAAGGGGCTTAAAACACCAAGCGTTTGATTAAGCACATCACTTTTTCAGGAGTGTGCACAGGGATGTTGTGGGTCTAGATTCCCTTAAAATTTTCTGTGCCTATGTCCCCTTTGAAAAGCCTTCTGATACCCCCGAAAATACAAAACCCCATTTGAAGACTGCTACTCTTGGAGACTGTTACAAACACTGGTACAAACACAGAGCCATGCTAAATAAAGCAGAGCAAATAAGTTCTACATGCAAGACATGAACCTCTTTCTTTTTATCTCTAGGGTAAAAAAAGAAAGAAAGAAATACCCATTCCCTAAAATCAGATCAATTCCATATCCCGAACATTTAGGAAGATTTTCAACTCCAGCTGCCCAGCTGCTCAACACAGATTGCCTCACATAGCACAAAGATTCCTCCCTTGATATTAAATGGAATGTGAAAACGACCTCAGCATTTAGAAACCTTAAGTCTTACATGAATTGTTCTAACAGTCCAATGAATATCATTAGTATAGCTTTGAATTCCCATAGAAAAATGTTAGTTGGGTATTAACTAGATTTAAAGATTTCACAGTGTCTTCAGCAGAAAATGACACAAGGGCTGTTAGAAATGTAAGCTCTTCTCTCTACTGTTTTTGTAATTGTCTACCCGGTCATGACAATCGTGAAAAATGTTAACAGACATCTGAGAAGTGAAACACATGCTCAAGTGCAGCAACCATTTAGGCAGAAGATACCAGACCAAGGTCCCAAAGTCAATTAGAGATTTTAGAAGTTTACATTAGGTTAATATTAAAGAAAAATATAATCAGGGTACCTGGGTGGCTCAGTAGGTTAAGCAACCTTTGGCTCGGGTCATGATCCTAGAGTCCTGGGATTGAGCCCTGCATCAGGCTCCTTGCTCAGCGGGGAGCCTGCTTCTCCCTCTCCATCTGCCTGCTGCTCCCCCTGCTTGTGCTCTCTCTCTTTCTCTCTGTCAAATTAAAAAAAAAAAAATCTTAAAGAAAAATACAATCACCATTACTATAAAAAATTTGTCTGTGGGACGCCTGGGTGGCTCAGTGGGTTAGGCGTCTGCCTTCAGCTCATTTCATGACAGGATCCTAGGATCCAGCTCCGCATCTTCCAGCGCCCCTGCTCAGCGGGGAGTCTGCTTCTCCCTCTCCCTCTGTGCCTCCCCCTGCTTGTGCTCACAAGCTCTCTCTCTCTTTCTCTCTCAAATAAATAAATAAAATCTTTTTAAAAAAAATTGTCTGAGAAGTATTACACTTTAACTTTTACCAGATACTGTAACTGGAGTAACATGAGGATTCCGTGTCATTTGTGATACTGAATATTTAAGTTGTATCTCTGTTTGAGCACCCATGACTACGTTTACATACCTCTAACATTAATTTAAGACATAACAAAGTCTGCTCTATAAGGTAAGTGAATGAAATTTAGGACATTCCATTTAATGTAGCATTTCAATTTGAAAAGATGGGGGCTGCCAAAACTTGTAAGTAATAAGAGATCCTTCAGTGGGTAAATGGATAAACAATTGGTACATTCACACAATGGAATATTATTAAGCAATTTTTTTAAATGAGCTATCAAACCACAAAAAGACATGGAGGAAACTTAAATGCATATTGCTAAGTGAAAGAAATCATCTGAAAAGGCTACATACTGTGATTCCCAACTATATGACATTCTGAAA